AGGCTTGGGCTGCTCCTCTTGGCTCAGAGCGGGTTCTTGAGAAGAAATCACGGTAGACGGCTCAGGCTTGGGCTGCTCCTCTTGGCTCAGAGCGGATTCTTGAGAAGGAATCATGGTAGAAGGCTTAGGCTTCGACTGCTCTTCAACATTCTCATCTTGAATCGGCTCAACCGCTTCCCAGCCCTTCTCATCCGGCCCCAAGTTCTTTACTGGCGATGAAGTTCTTGACGAACTCTTACTCGACGGCAATGACGGAAACTGCTCCTCGATAGGGTGCTGGTGCTGCCCATTCTGCTCGACAAGGAACAACGGCATGATCTCACGCGAGTTCACAAATTCCATTGACCTTCGTCGGGCGCGTCTCTCAGGTGGGGAGCTGAGTGACAGAGCAGGCAGCTCGGGAGAACCAACGGATGGCGAGCGGCGGCCTGTAGGTGATGTCGAGGGCGGACGACGGAATTGTAGTGGAACGGCTGTATGGGAGTCTTGAAGCATGGAGAGTCGCCGTGACCGGTCACCATCGGCGGCATGAAGCGACTGTCGCTGTCGGTTCGATTCGGGCGAGGTAGGCCTACTTCGAGATTTCGGACCCACATCGACCATGGCCTTCGCCGAACCAGAAGGGGATATTGAACGGCTCCTGAGTCGGGATTCAGGCACGCTTAGGGGGAAGGGAAGTCTCAAGTCTTCCGTGTTGTCTTTTCCATCATCTACCTTTACTGGCGTCTCGGCGGAACGCGCAGGTTCATGCTCTTCGGCATCCTTGCGGTCCTATACACGAAAGAAATGAACTTGCTTTAGCATATTGACTCTAATCCAAAGCATACGAACAACGTAAACGTAAATTGACAAGCATGATACATATAACCGTAAATCGTAAATCACACGTAAATCAAGGTAAATCAAGGTAAATCACAAAGAAAAAAAGGGTTATACCTTCTCATACTCCTCCTCTCTAGTTTGACCATTAGGACCCGCAATTCCTTCAGCTTCCTGGCGTCGTCTTTCTTCTTCTCTCTGGCGTTTTTCCTCTTGACGGGAAAATCTGTACCTTTGCACGTTATTGTCTTCCTCGCCCCTGGCTCCCCGGTCATTCTCCAGCACATTGTCGTTATTCGAATCCGGTTCATCTCTACGCCAGCGTTCCTCGCCGTTTGGCGCCAGCACGAATTCATCCGAAGGCGTTTCCTCAGAGACCACGGGTCGAGAATTGTTCTCAAAGGCAGCATCATCCTTGACTGCCGGAGTTGGCCCATCCTCACTCCGGGGCTCGTTCCAAATCAACGGCCGCGGTGCCGGAACAGTGTCCTTGAGACCTCTAGCTTTGCGAGCTTCCTCCGGAGCGACATCCCGTTCATCCTTTCCCCGGTATTCTTCGCTAGGTGGCTCACGGGGTGTGACAGCAGGTGACGGTTCTTTGGGGCCTTGTCGCGTGGTCGTCTCAGATTTCTGAGGGCGCTGCTGTTGCTGCTGAGATGTGGGTTGGCTACGGTCACGGAAGTCGGGGGTGTCACCGCTAGGAGCCCGCGTCGGTTGTGGATAGTCCTCGTTGGCCTCCTTGGGCTTGGGACGTGCGGGGAACGAGTAGTTCGATTTGTCATTGTCCTTCAAGGGGCCATCGTTCATTCTGTTCGACTGACTTTGTCTCCGGTGCTCCTGCCTGACTGGCTCCGGAGCTGAGACCGCAGGTGCAGCGTCCTTGGGGCCCTTGTCGGACAAGGCAACATTGTCGTCCTTTGAGTGCAATTTGTCTTGGCTTCGGCGCCCCCGCCGTAACGGCAACCTGGAAACTGCAGGAGCGGGTTCCCTTTCCCTTGGAGGTACGGGCTTGCGATTATCCTCCAAAACAAATTCGCTTCTGTCCAAATCGTCCTGGCTCAAGCGATACCCGCTTGGCGAAGGAGCCCTGGGTATTTCACCGAAAACAAGTTCACTTTTGCTCAAATCGTCCTGGCTCAAGCGGTAGCCGCTTGGTGACGGGGCCCTGGGAATTTCCCCCAAAACAAGTTCACTTTTGTTCAGATCGTCTTGGCTCATGCGGTAGCCGCTGCCTGGCGATGGCGG